AGCTTTTAATGGAAACCAGTTGCTGGTTCTTCAGAAAAGGGGCTTTGTTGCTGCTGCTGGGTGGGAGCCAAAGCCCCTCTGCCTCCCCAGCCCTCGCCGCTCCCTCCATCCCTCTCCAGGGCTGGGTCAGGCTGCAGCTTGGGAGCAGAAAGGGGCTTTTGTCTGCCTGTGGTGTGGGGACAGGACACTGTGGGGACAGGGCACTGTGGGGACAGGGCACTGTGGGGACGGGGCACTGTGGGGATGGCCGAGCCATCGGTCCCCATCACAATTCCTGCTGCTGCAGTGTCATCCCAGCCCAGGTCAGGTCCAGGTCTGTCTGTCCCATTCACTGTGCAGGAACAGGGGGAGGTTTTCAAGGAAGCAGCATGGGGGGGGTCTTGCTCTGTCCCTGGCAGTCCCTTTCTGTGCCTTCAAACCCCTGAGCTGCTTTGCCTCAGTTCTCCCCAGCCTGTTCCTTGGGGCAGCCCCGCAGTGGTGCTGGTTGGGTCACCAGTGGGATGAACATCACGGACACAAGGCTGGCTGTGTGGCTGAGTCTTTCCACATCTCCTGGAGCTGGTCCTGCCATGGACCCTTTTGGGGTGGGCTCTGAGCCCCTCCCTGTCTCTCCCCAGGTGGTCGGTGCTGGCGCTACGCGGGCTCCACCCTGGAGGCAGGTTTTCCCCAAAAGTGCAGCGCCCGCGGGCTCCCTCGGCACCCGGACACCGCGCTCTTCTTCCAGCAGCTCCGGCGCCTGGTGCTGTTCAAGGGCCCCAAGTACTTCGTGGTGAGCGAGGAGACCCTCGCTGTGGAGCCCTACTACCCCCGCAGCCTGCGGGACTGGCAGGGGCTGCCCCCCGGCACGGCGGGGGCCCTCACCCACCGCGACGGCTTCGTCTACTTCTTCCGGGACGACCAGTTCTGGAAGTTTGACCGGGCAAAGCTGCAAGTGGTGGCCACTGGCAAATGGGCCACCCAGCTCCCCTGGATGGGCTGCTGGGACGCAAACAGCGGGCAGGTCCTCTTCTGAGCAGAACCTGCTGGGATGGAACGGGGCTCTGAACCCCACCTCGCTCACCGCTGCCTGGATCCCTCTTTCTTTGACTCCGGGTTCCTGTCTGAGGATGGTTTGGCAGGGAGACCGGCTGCCTGTGGATGGCTGGAGCCATGGGATGGTGGAGCAGTGTCCCAGCACAGCATGGATGCAGTGGGACAGGTCTGCCACAGCCAGGTGGGCTTGGAGGCTTTGGGAGACAGTATTTTTTTTAAAAGACCACAAAAAATACATAAACCATGGAGACTGCAATCACACCCATTTCTGTTAACATTCAGGATATCGTTACACCTTTTTTTCCAAAGCAGGACTGGGGTTTGTTGCTACTTTTTGATATCTTTGTTGATGTTTGTTGATATCTGTTGTTTTCCCACGACCAGAGAGAGAAGTGCCTCGCCACTGCTTGGCTTGGGGTTTGGATGCTTTTAAATATGAGACTGAGAATGTTTCCTGCTTAAAAAAAAAGGAAAAGAGACATTTGGACAAAACTCTGGATCCGTGTTAAGCTTTGCCCTTGCTGTGTGCTCAGAGCCCCAGGGATGGGGGGTCAGGGATGCTTTGCTGGGCTGTGCTCACATCCCAGAGCTCTGGTGAGGCACCAGCTGGAGACACCAACACGGTGGGATTTGGGGGGAGAAACCAGAGGGGTTTGGTGCAGGAGCCTCTTTGGGGTGGAGAGAGAGGGGAGGCACAGCTGAGATATGACCATGTGACTGCGCAGCTCACGGGCAGCTCTGCTTTGTCTCTGCAAGAGGCAGGATTGGTGTGTTTTTGAGTCCCTGTGCCACAGTTGGATGAACACAGGGTTGACAAATTACTGGGGGAGGAGGGGAAGAGGAGAGGGTGAGCAGGACAGACATGTCTGTGCATGCAGGCTCACAAGGACAGCACGGCTGCATATTCCTCATTCCTTTCCCGAAGCAGGCTCCCCACCTGGAAACGCTGCTGGCTCCTGTCATGTCCACAAAGGGCCATCGTGTCCCATGGCAGGTGGGCAAGCTCAGCTTCCCAGGGCTGGAATTCCACGGCAGCAAATGCCATCGGTGCTGAGCAAGACGGGGCTCAACTTTATTAAAATGTCCTTTGATTGGAGAGATTGGGGGATTTTCACCGTGCCGGGGTCGTACACAGGTGGGCAGCTGTGTCACTGATGGTTCTCCCAGGACTCAGACCCCAGCACTGCTTTGGGCTGGTCCTGCTGTGCCAGTGCTGTGTCAGGGTGCTGTGTCAGGGTGCTGTGCTGTGGTGCCATGCCAGGGTGCTTTCCCCATGCCAGCAGCTCTGAGGACTCTTTTCTTCAGCACAACATCCTCCATTTGCCCTCGCTCACCCTAAACCTTCCCTAGAGAGGGCAGGAGCCAGGCTTGCCCCAGGCAAGGTGCCAAGGCTGGTACTTCCCAAGGGTTTTCGGTGCAGCCAGCTGCCAGCTGGGACGTGGGTTTGGCAGGATGGAGAGCCACCACTCCTCCTGTTCTTCTTAAAACTTGTGAGTGAGCCCCTCGTGCACAGACACGAACATGGTCACTTCATCTGCTTAAAATCTCAGGGGACTTTCAGCGTTGCCAAAGAAACGGGGCCGCAGCATTTTCATTTGGAATTGAATGATAATAAGGCTTGCAGGGAGTCCCAAGGGCTTGGAAACCTCTTGGCAAATAAAAAGAACCTCTGGATACGTGGCATTGGGATTTCTGCTTGTTTTCATGTCCCAGTTTGCTTTTGGTTTGTTGTTTTTTTTTTTTAAGCCAATCTCTGGTTTCCTGACAGGGCTGTGTTTAAGATGCCTGTGGGTGTTTGGGGTTGGAGTGGGTATTGCTGAATTTGGCCTCAGCTTTTGTGCTTGCTGGATCAAAGGGAGGAAATGGATCCCACTGTAAACTCACTGATGGTGATGAAAACAGGGAAACTCTATTCCCTACTTCCTCCCAAATTACTGAGGATTTTTCCACACCTTGGGATGTGTTAATAGGTTTTTTCCCCAGGCTGAATTCATGCTGATGGGGGCCCTCCAGCCTATTGAAGTGTGTGAAGGTGGATCCTTGCTTCCCAAGGGACAGGGAACACCCCAACCAGCTCCCTGGGCTGCCACTGGCTGTGGGATCTGCAGTGTGATGGGAGGATTAATGGGGCATTGATGAGGTGATGGGAGATTAAAGGAGGGATTGATGGGGGGATGGAGGATTCGTGGGGAAAGCTGGCACTGGACAAGGTATTTCTGTCAAGGCATTTGCTCTGGGTGTCAAGCAGGGTAGGAGAGCAGTGTCACTCCTGCTCCATGTGCAGGAGGATTTCTGGGCCAGGCTGTACCCCAGGGATACTCTACACCTGCAGCTTTGCCAAGAAGCAGCAGTTCATTATCCCCTTTCCTGTTCCCTTAGGAGAAAGCAGGCATCCCATCTGCTGTGTGACTGGAAGGTGAGGATGGGACAACCTCAAAACCTCTCCCCTTTTTGGGTTTTCCTTTTCCTCCCTGGCTTGCTGCTCTGTGTTTCCTGTGGCTGTGTCCCATCGGGAGCCTTGGGGTCCTGTGATGCTGCCAGGGCTGGGGCTGAGCACAGCATTTCTGCCAGGGATGGGGTGACTGTGCTGTGTCAGCTGCACCCCACTGGTGTGGGGGGGAACTGGGGGAGGTGAACTCACACCCTGAGCTGTGCAGTCAACCCCACTGGGTGCCCTGGCTGGAAATCCAGCTTCACAAGGGTCCTTTTCTCCTGCTGAGCTCCCTGGCTGGGCATGCCAGACACAGACTCCTCCAGCCTGCCACACATTCCCAGGCAGAATAGCTGGGATTCTTGCATTTCCTCCCCCAAAATGACACTGGCTGGACAGTGAGCTGCAGTGAGCATCAGCAGCTGGCTCCAGGGAGAGGACAGGTCTCTCAACACAGCAAAAAGCCCCCTAAAGCCCACGACAGAGCCCCCTGAGCACATGAGAGGCTCTGTTTCGGTCCTGAGACGTGAGCACTTCCCTGGTAGATTTGCTTTTAGCAGATGTACCTGGGTGTTGTTGCAGCTCTGCAAGCCCTGGGTTAGGGAGGGAGTATCCCACATTCCCAGAGGTGCCCACTCGTGTGTAGTTATTTCTTTAAAGCCCCAACTCCTGGAGTCACACTGTCCCTGGAGGAGCTTGGCTTTTACCAAAGACCTCGCTGTTGTGAGCAATTTGGGAAGAAGTTTGCAAGGAAACACAGGGCAGAGAAAGCCCAAAGGTGGGTGTGGGAATAAACCCTCCTCACCTTGAGGTTGCCCTGAAGATGCATCTTGTAGGGCCACCAGGTCACCCCACCTGCAGGGGAGGTGGGTGGAGGGGTGTTGGGAAGGGGGGAAAATCCCTCTCATGTGCTTGTGAGCAACTTGGGAAGCTGATGAGCTGCTAATTCCTTCCTGTCCTGGAGCCAGGGCCCTCGGGGGGAAAAATCCACCCCTGGCATGGCTGGGGAGGAGCAGGTGCTGAAGGGTTAACAGGGAGTGTTTGCAGCCAGTCCCTTGTCACCAAGGAGAAGGGATCAGCACTTGGGAAGGAAACAAAACACCCACTGCCCAGGAGGGTGATTTCCTTCAGCCCTCAGACCCCAGAAGGGCTCTGGACACCAGGAGGACGGCGGCGTCACCATCCCGGCCGGCAGGGAGCAAGTGGCACCGGGTGAGTGTGGCTGCTGGGGAGGTGGGCTGGGGACATGGCCGGGGCAGCTCCCCATGTCCCCATCACCCATATCCCCATCATCCCTCTCCCTCAACCTCCTCCCAGTCCCATGGCAGAATGTGGGGGACTCCGGGCCCGGCGGTGCGGAGCATCCGTCCCTACCCGACCAGCCAGCAGTACCTGTACGCCATGAAGGAGGACCTGGCGGAGTGGCTGAAGGAGCTGTATGACCTGGACATCGAGGTGGGCACCTTTGTGGAGGTGCTGGAAACGGGGGCTGTGCTCTGCTCCCACGCCAACAACGTCACCCAGGTGGCCGGGGAGTTCGCCCGCACCTACCCCGAGGTGGCCCGTCACCTCCACCTGCCCACTGCCTGTGTCACCTGCAACCTCACAGCGCAGCCAGGCACCTTCCAGGCCAGGGACAACGTCTCCAATTTCATCCAGTGGTGCAGGAAGGAGATGGATATCAAAGGTAAGATGCCAAGTTCCTGTTGTCCATGTGTCTGTGTACAACCCCCTCCAGATGCTCCTGACATCACCTCGGGTGTTTTCCTGTGTGTCCCCCAAAATCAGTGCCACCCCAGCACGGGGCAGCACCCTGTGCATGCATCCCTGAGCTGGCATTCCTTGCACAAGCTCCTCCAGGCTTGGCAGCAGCTTTGCAAGCTGCTGGCACACACCCAGTGTGTTTGCTTGGGTGCAAGTATGTGCTGGAGGGGTGGAAAAGGAAAGGGTGTATGGCCCAGTGTGTCCCTGCCAGGCATGGCATGATCCCAGCTGTAAGGAGAGCAGGAGAAATCCTGGCTCAGCAAAGGGTCTGTCAGCCTGTCCTACCACCAGTGGATGCCCAGGAAGGGGAATGGCACAGAGTGACACACTCTCAAGGCACCCAGACTTGAGTTTTGTGGCTTTGCAATGCCATGAAACAGCTGTAGATGCCCAAGAAGATCTTAAATCCTTTAATTTATCCCAGCTCTTGTTGAACCCAACCATATTCCCAGCGGGATGGCTCCAGTGAGTAGCACCCCTTTGGGCGGGTTTTGACTCCATCTGTACCCCCGTCCCCTTTGTCCCCATCCCCACGTGCCAGCCCTGGCTCAGCCCAGCCCTGCCCTGCCCCAGATGTGCTGATGTTTGAGACGGAGGACCTGGTGCTGAGGAAGAACGAGAAGAACTTCGTGCTGTGCCTGCTGGAGCTGGCACGTCGCGCCTCCCGCTTTGGCGTGCGCGCCC